CAGCAGTGTGTAGGGCCAGCCTTGAGATTGCAGCAGGGCAGAGAAGTTACGGCCGTACCGTGCAACGTTAGCCCCACAGGTCTGGCCATGCCGTATGGTGTGTGACACCGCGCTGTCGTCTGTGGGACGCTCGTCACCATCAGTCACCCGTGACTAGGATGAAGCGGGGCTCGCTGTCGATAGCACCGATGTTCTCCTCTGGGCTCCGGGAAGCCCTGCCATGAAGGCAGCATGCCGAGTGCCGTCTGCTTCCTAATTTTCAACCGATGACATACTTTTAAAACCTCAGGGCAATCCTAACAGGTTCTTGAGAATACTTGGGTGTCATTTCAATAAACACTAACAGGTTCAAGAGCAGGCCATGTCTGACTAGGGTGCGAGAAGAGCACATGCTGCCCGTGGGCTGCAGGGCAGCAACTGGACTCGTGCTTAGCCTGCATGTAGTATTTTCACTTTCTCCCATTCCCCCACCTGAATTACTCATTAGAAAGACATCAGAAAGTGGGGCCGGGGAGATGGCTTATTGGAATAAGCACTTCCCTGGCAAGCACAAGGGCCTGAGTTCAATCGCTGGTTCCACAAAAAAAAAAAAAAAAAAAAAAAAAGATATCAGCACTGATTTCTCTTTTAAGATATATACAGATTTATAAATTTTTCCAAAAGTTTCAAGTCAAGGTGAAAGGCAGTAACAGCCATGAAAGGAACTCAGCTGTGAGTCCCTGAAATGATCAGAATTGTGTTTTAAAGGATCAATTGGAAGGGTTGGCCAGCTACCTCAGCAGACTAAAGCGCTTGCTTAGGCAGAGCACAGGGATGGGGGTTCAATCTTCAGCACCAATGCCAAGCCGGCCCTGCCTCCGGGGTGAGCCGAGACGTGGAGTGAGGTTGGGCATGGTGGTGTGCACCTGTAATCCCAGCGGTTGAGAGAGTGAAAACAGGAGGATCACTATGAGTCTGATCTGGGTAATGAGACCATGTAGACTCTGTATTTTTTAAAATACATTTTTTTAAAAAAAAAAGGATTAATTGGGGTTGGGGAGATAGCTCAGTGGTCTAAGCACCTGCCTGGCAAGTGCAAGAACCCAGCCAATGTTCGATCCCCAGTACCACATGTCCTTCTGGCCCCAGACCCCTGGGTGCTCTATGCTGGCCCCAAAGCTGGGTGTGGTGATGCATGCCTGTAATCCTAGTACTGGTAAGGCTGAGGCAGGATGATCACTATGAGTCTGAACTGCACAGCGAGACCCTGAGACAAATTAAAAAAAAAAAGACCTAAAGGAACTATGGGCAGAGCCAGGATAAAAGAATCCTGCATCTCTTTCCTGGCCCTCTCTTCTTTAGCCCTTGTCCTGCCAGCCAGCTGCTACTACTTTATGCTGATAAGAAATAAAATAAATGGATAAGAAAAATGGACTTAATGATGAAGGGTTTAATCTTGTAATGAATTAGGACAAAAAAATTAAGTCAATTTCAAATCTGCAGGCTTCTGAGAGACCTCAGAGTTGGGGAAAAACTGAAAACATTTAATCACATTTGAACTTTCAAGTATAAAAAAGGACATGAAAGATATTCTGATGTTCCTTTCTGGGTTATACTTCATGAGCTATTCTATATAAATGCAGATTTCTTATTCTCCTGTAAAGGCCTTAGAATTTTGTTGTAGAAAAGCCTAGCATAAATTAAACTTTAAATTAAATTTCATTCCGTCAGAAAGTTCTGATATAGTGATGTCACACTTTTGGCAGATTCATCTCGGCTTCGAGCTGCACTTTAATATTGCAAATGCCACGGGAAGGTTTTATGTTGCTCTCTATTCCAGAGCAGGGGTAGAACAGGGCTAGCCATGGTGCAATTTTAATAAACAAATGAGCCTGTGTGATACATTGAAAGAATAATAGAATTTTAATTCACCTCGCTAAGCTAGAACCTTCTGATCGGCTTCCTGTCCTTGAGCTTGTGCTTTCTTTAATCTTTTTAGAAAAACCATTGGTGTGATTTTTAAAGCTAGTTTGGAGAGCATGACTGTGGATGGAATGGTTTTCTGAAATTCATTTGTGGCATGATGTCTTGGGTACAGATGGAAGCCATGTGCTTCAGCCCAGGTACCAGAGACCGAGACACTAATGACGTGCTGATTTCCGTCCGGGCAATGATGAGGGATGGCCATGGGCAGCAGGAGGACTGAGCTATTTTTCATTAGCACTTGGACTTTGATAAAGGGGAATAGAAAAGAGCTGCTTGACCTTTGAGTGCTTAAATTATTAAAGAGCAAATAGATTTGAGGTCTGGATGCTTGCAAATCTAATTTGTCTTGTGGAGCAAGGATGAAAAGACATTCGTGGCTGGAAATGGCTCCAGTCAACTTAGTTCTGTCTTTAATATATCTGAAGATGAGGAGATGGTAGCCATTTAAAAAATAATGTGTCTGGAGTCGGGTGTATAATGCAACTAATGCTTGCTGGCTACAACGGAGGCCCACTAAATGACCATTTAATTCTCAAATTTTCACCCAATCCTCATTAAATTGCTGCTTGGGCAAAATTATTTTTTCATCTGGATGGTATTTAAATTACACAACAAAATTTGGTTTCATTAGGAGATAGCTTTTTAGGGAACAATATATTATTTGAGTTCAAGTAGAGCAGTGCTTGGCATGTAGTAGCTGCTCAGCGTTTGTTGAGCCAGGTGTGTGTCATATACGTGCAACCCAGCAGCTTGGGAGGCTGAGGCAGGAGGATCTCAAGTGTGAAGCCAGCTATCCTGGGTAACTTAATAGGCACTAGGGATGTCGCCCAGCTGTGGAGGAGAATGTGCGAGGCCCTGGGTTAGTTTCTGCCACCGTGAAACTAAAAAGTCCTACTTTGAGTTAATAAATGGTGCAGAGGGCTGGCCGGGCAGCTTCTGCTTTGGGTCTGTGGGGACCGCACGCATGGGCAGGCTCAGACGTGTGAACTCCTGCAGTGGCCACACGTGGCCCCCACGCTGTGGGCAGAGCGCCCGCCTGTGTCCTCGCGAGCATGGCAGGTTCAAGGTCATGGCGTCATAGCCTTGGGGGCGGGCTTCTCCTAGCAGCACCTACAGCATCCCTGCTGCCATTCTGTTGGTGGCGCATGAGTCGTGACACAGCACCAATGCAGCACCTTGCTGGAGAGGCATCAAAGGCTTTGCAGATAGATGTGTTTTTAAATCACGACAGCTGAGTGTGCGTATGACAGGGAGAGGAGAGGAGAGGCGTCAAAGTGTGCTTAACCTCCTGAGTGTCCTTCCTCGAGGAAGGTCTTTAATTACAGCCTCAGTCATGCAGGAAGGAATCCGGCCAGCTGCGTGGAGGACTTGCATGACCGCTCCCAGCAGAAAGTGCCCAGGGTTAGGACTGAAGACTTTGGCTCACTTTTCCTTATTTAGGGACACCTTGCCTTTGGTTGCAAATGTGCAGTTACTTCTCCACAAGACCCCCTTCAGTCGTGTGGCTAAAGGACACTCTTTCAGCATCCAGCTTATAAACAGCAACAATTCTCACGTACTCTTTTTGAGTATGGTGAATTTTGTTCCTCTCAGAACACTGTGCTAGAATATTCTGCGGGGGAGTGTAAGCATTGTCTCTTGCCAGGAGCCAGCAGGAAGTGACAGTCTGTCACGCACTGTGGCGCATCACACGCCACGCCGGGCCCCGCGATGCCATCCAGCGTGTTCTGCATTCACGTGCGCTGCCACTGTGCCAAACTGCAGGCAGAGTGGATGGCTCTTACCCAGACAGATCACTGATGACCGCCCTCTTTGTTGCAGTGTCTACCAAATAGTTGTTGAGGAGGAACGCCCTCGAAGAACTAAAAAGACAACAGAGATATTGAAGTGCTACCCGATACCGATCCACTTCCAGAACGCGTCCCTCCTGAACTCGCAGTACTACTTCGCCGCCGAGTTCCCGGCCGACAGCATCCAAGCTGCCCAGCCTTTCACCATCGGTGACAACAGGACCTACAGCGGGTACTGGAACACCCCGCTGCTCCCCCACAAAAGCTACAGGATTTACTTCCAAGCTGCTAGTCGAGCCAATGGGGTACGTTGTACAGATGACCGCTGGCTTCAGGCTTCTGGGGTTGTTAGGCCAACGGCAGATAAGTGAGGTGGTAGTGAATGGACAAAGTCAGGCCTCTGTGTTTACTCATAAGAAAATGAGTTTCTCCTCTTCGTAAAATTATTTTCATGTAGAGAAATTTATGGCAAGAAATGAGAACATTCATCATGTTTTGGAGGAGTTAGAAAAGTAGATCCTCGTGATGATTGTTATGCACAGATTTCCTTCCTTCCAAAAGCTGGCTAGCCATTCTGCTTAGCTTACTAATCTTACAGGAAAACAGCACAGCTATAACATATAGATCCAGCTCATTTAAAATTTTGTGAGATCCACAGCATCTGTCTTTTAAGCACATTTTGTGTCATTTCTTTCGCTCCGAGAGTTTATGCCTCTAATAGCTACAGCTAAATTAGGTGTCTTTTTTCTTTTCTAAGAGAAGACAGTTTTAGAAAGATGAGATGGAAACAAAGTAAAATTCTCTTGGCGTCATTTCTGAAGTGGCCCCCCCTTTCCTGGTCACGGCTGTCCAGAGCTCTGATAAGAACTCAAAGCCGCCGTAGGGAGAGGGAAAGTTTCCAAGTCCCCACCTCGGTCTCTGTCCTTTCTAGTGCAGTCCTGACTTTCAGTGTCCCCCTGGCAAAAGTCAGGGGGGCAGGGACACTGGGGCCAGGCACAGGCTGCAGCAGGAGCCCAGCCCCGCTGGGCAGGACATGGGCATTCACTCGGCCCTCCTTAACAGTTAGGCTCTTCCAGGGCTGCCGCGAAGGGCACTGGAATCCGTGTGTGAGCAGCGCCCCTGGGTAATCAGCGCTGATGAAGCCTCGGTCGGGACAGCGAGCACTTCCTTATCCAGTTCCTTAACTAGAGCTCCAGAGCTCTCTGCTACTTTTAATAAAGCATGAGGCATGACTCCTCCCCTCTTTATTTCTTACAGGAAACCAAAATCGACTGTGTTCAAGTAGCCACAAAAGGTAGGTTGAAACTGTGGGTTGATTTCCTGATTTATGTCTTTTAAAACTTACTTTAGGCTGTTTTAAAATTGCTTGAAATGTAATTCCAATGAATTATAAATGTGTATACATATATACTGTATACACATATGCATGTACATATATATATGTATGTATGTATGTATGTATGTATGTATGTATCAGGGAATGATGGCAGTTAGACTTGACTCGTGTTGATCTTTTTTAAACTAAGTCTTAGTGCTATGCTCAAAGCAGTTTTCAGTGGCTTTTAAAAATTTCTTTTCATATTAATCTTTATCAGACGTCATACATGCCTTAAGCCACAATGTCCCATACCTGATGAAACTGGATTGTATACAGTGAATCTTCAGATAAAAGGCAGAGTTGAAGTCTTAGCCCCACTTTGTAAACTTGCTGGTTTTTTCTGTGTGACTGAGCTGAGGAGGGATGGGAAGATCACACTGGACGGGTTCTTGCGCAAGAGCCATCCTCACAGTTGTTCAGCCTTCAGACGACAGCATGAACACGCCAAGGAGGCACAGGAGCATGCCGTCCTCGTTGCAGTCTTGTCTCATGAAGGTGTGAGGCTGCACGGCTTTGGCAGCTTAGTGGTAGCCTAGCAGATATGTCTTGGTTGAACCCTGTGGGGTAGGCGTGGGTGGGCGAGCCCTTCCGCTCTGTTTGTCCTCACGGGGTTCTCGCTCTTTTCCCGAGAATCCACTCATGTAGATTAAAGACACTCTTTATATCTTGTTGTACCTGATTAAGGGCCTCTACTTGTGGCAGTAAATCAGCCGTAAGTAGAATGGCGGCTCCCGGGCACCTACCAGCGATCACAGTACTAGAGAGCCGCTGAACTGGGTTACATCCTGGCGCTTTGCGCTCCACCTTGTGGCTCTGACCCAACACAGGGCTCTGGCAGTAATGCCTTCTTACACCTCTGCGGACCTTACAGTCTGAGGGTGAATCTAGTCCCAGGGCGCCTAATTGACAATGCCTTATGTTTACCTCACAGCTGAAAGTTTGGGAACCACTGTCATTCATGAATTTGCATTTATTTCTGCACTATAACTGCAAGAAGGAGACAGATCCTGCCACTCTTCATGTTTAACAGGTGGACGCGTGGGTTGTTGGAGGGCACTGGCCTAGCAGGTCCCTCAGCCGTAATCTGGGGTTCAGGCTTGACCCCGGCGTGGACACTGTTCCCCAGGGTTCTCCTGCCTGTGTTTGGTGCTTCTCATCCTGAAGGAGCTCTGGCCCAGGGCTGTGTGGCACAAACCTCTTAAGTCCCTCTACCGGAACTGAGTGCCTGCCCACTTCTTGCAAACAGTGAGATCTCTGTCATCAGGCTCATTTACGTAATTGAAGTATTATAGAAATAACTCACTAGTAAGTATAGAAACCTGACAAGTTTGCTGTTTTCACAATAGATTGAATTAGATGGTGATTTGGGCCATTTTCTCCCATCCGCTAGATTTCATCAATATTGTAATTTGTTTTTCAATCCACCCAAGCGTGATTAGGCAGTCAGATGACCCAAGTGGCCGATACCCCGCTTGTCTTTTCTGAGTCATTTGCAAACGTTTACACAACAGCAAGCTCCATCCAAATAACCCCTTTTGGGGAAATAAGAAAACACATTTTAATATTCATTGCCTAACACTGTCATTTTTGTTTCATAAAATCCTAGTACAGTGAGAAACTAGGGGAGATCCTGTCCCCCCGGGGAAGAGTGGCGCTGTGTCGTACGATTTTGTGACATTCGGCGTGGACGGCTCAGCCGCTCCCCACTCAGCATGGCAGAACACTCCACCGCCCTTATAATGAGAAATACTTCCCTTCTGTATCCTAAAAATTCCTTTTGAAGCACAGGAAGCCATTCCATCTTGCCTGCTTGTCTGGAACAGCGAAATAAGTCGATTTAACAACTCTGTTCGTGCTGTGCAATAAAGGAGCTGGAGGGACGAATCCAGGCGTCCTGAGGGTTTGCCACCTACTCCTGACAGCAGAGTGGCTTAATCAAGCTCTCAGGCACTAGGCGGCTTTCCTAAGCCGCTCTCTGGGTTTACAGGTTTCAGTGTTCTCCGGAACACTGTTGATGAGTGTCTCTTAGGGAGGGTGGAGGTGGAGGTGTCTCCACAAAAGGGGAGTTTGTAATTTCAAGTGTGGGTATGTCTCTTAAAAATGTAGTTCATACTATTTATACATTTATTGTTGTGATTATCTTAATCATATTTCAAAGATATCTTCTGACACTCATCATCTCAAATATAAAACTTATAAAAGTTATACACAGGAAAAACCCCTAAGTTATGTCATTCCACGTCTTCACATTTGGAGGATTGCCTATATTTTACGTATCCTTTAATTTCTACGTCTATTGACTTCTCCATGGCTACTACATGTGGCTGTAGTTTAATTGATGATGTGGATGATCTGAGAAGCAAGGGCACCTCACTGTAGGATACATGTGATGTTCGACTGTCCCGCTCACAATGAGAAGGTTTCTTTTTATCCACAGCATACAGGGAATAGGAGAGCTTTGACTACTTGTTAGGTTCTCAAATTTTTTTATTTTTTTCAGTCACATCCACATTTTTATATAGGTTCTTTTCGTGACCCTTTGGTCCAACTGTATGTTATATTAGTAATTCATGTGTTTTCTTTAACCTCTGTATTGATTATAACTGCCTTATAATAACTGGCAAGGTTAAAAACTATAACCAATTAAAAATTGTCAGGATAACAAAAATCCAAGTAGGTCATGTTAGTAAACTAGATCTCTTGTATCAGATGAGGTATGTCCACTCTAATTGATATGATGATCAGTTTGGACATATGTGTTAATCTTTTATAAGGGAACATTTTCTTTAATATGATGTCACTCATGTTTGTTCCTAACAATGTAATCAGTGGGTGATTTCCTGTTACCCCTTTGTTTTTAAAATTATTGGAATGCCTTTCAAGTACAAATGCATAGAGATTTCATCTTTTGAAGCCCTTGAATCCCTCAAAGTTTGGGGTGTTCATGTTGGCTGACTTTCGGTGCATGGAGGGTTCAGGCCATTCACGGGTCCCTTCCTTGCTTCAGTCTGGCTCGCAGCACTAGAGCTACAAGTGTTGGTGTGCAAACACTAGTTTAATTCTCTGCAAAACTAACAGAGAGGTCAGACTTTAAACCTTAAACCACAAGAAAAGACTTATTCCACTGTTATGTTTTTAAAGGGAATTTTCTATGAAAAATGCTTTGCTGTTTGTAATTCTTGTATTTTATTTAACTCAAATTTGTACTGGATGTGAATATGCTTTGCTGGAAGACCTTGAGGAAACATTGAAGGATTTCTATTGTTCTGATATAATTTCTAACTATATTCAGAAATTTGAATGTTTCTTTTTTTAATCACTAGGCTCTTGGAGAAGTTTCTCCAGCCTGTTTTTCTTTTCACTCTTTTGTTCAAAGAAATACCATCCTTTCTGGCCATAATGTTACAGAATGGAAATGCTTTGATAAAAGAACCAAAAAGAATGTCTGCTGAGATGTAAACCTAATTAAGATTCCTTTTAATTGTGCATATTGAATCCAAGGGAAAACAAATTGCATTGTGAGATCACTCATGTATGCCAATCTCCTATTATTTAGGCTACGGATTTAGAAACAGGAATATATACATACAGTTTTCAACATTTTGTAAAGAAAATTTTTTCTTATTCTTGATAATTCATAATCTTCATAATGTGCATCAGCAGTATATGTAGGCCCCTAAAAGGTTCTCAAAAATAAGAAACCCCAAAGTCTGTTTCTCAAATTTATACAAACCAGTCTCATCTTTCAGGGAACACAGGGCCTTGCACAACCCTATTGGTATATGCACATGCAGGATCTGGAAGATCCTGGCTCGGCTCTGCAATGCCAGCATGGAGCCCACGCTGGACTCCTTCCCTGCTTGCCTCTGTCCCCAGGGCCCCAGGGCCAAAGCCACCAGATACTGTCTGTTAAGTACAGCATGGGAATTCTGACCTTACTCTGCCAAACTTCATAATGTCCTCTTTTATTCTGCATCATTACTGGTATTTTAAGGCAGGAAGCAGCACGCCTTTTATGTCAAGGACCAGATCAAGGTTATTTTGAGCTGGGGATGCAGCTCAGTGGCTGAGCTCTTGCCTAGCATCCCAGTCCCTGAACTCAGTCCCCAGCACTGCAAAGAAATGAAAGGAATACAGTGTTTTAGGCTTGGAGGGCCACGTGGTTTTTGTCACAACTACTGACCTCAACCCTGCCCATTTTAAAGTAATTTCTAATGTAAGCAAGTGCTGTCCTTGCACTAAAAATAATAGCTACAAAGAACTACTTCACAGATTGGAACACAGCGACCGTTGCGGAGTGCTTTTCTGGTGTATGAACTTTGTCTATGTGACTTCGCCTCCTTGTAGCTTGGGTACTTCTTCATTTGCAGGTACCTGCTGCCTACGAGGCCTGTTTTCGAGTAGTTTTTGTTCATATCTTTCACCCTTTTGGATAGAAGATAAGAGCCCTAATGCTTTAATGGACAGTGTCTTACTCCAACGCAGCTTGTTCTGATTTTCTTATAAGTAACAGAAACTACGTAAGAGTATCAGCTGAACCACAGTATTCTGTGGCCAACCAAACATGTTACATATATAGACCTGTAATCCACATCAGCTGTGTAACAAATCTTAGAAATAACATTTTACAATGTTCAACTTGTTGTATCCAAATCTGCAGAGATCTTCTGTCTGCAGAATCATCATAGTGCTGTGTTGGGAACTCTGTTCTCTGGCCAGTTTATCTCACTTTGCAAAACTGGGATGCATTCGTGAATAACATGTAAAAGACTGCTGCACCCTTTTTTCTTTTGTTTATTTTAAAGAGAATTTTAAAAAACTAAAAATCATACAGAATTTCAAAAAAGATGACAGGAAAATCAACAGCGATCATTATGTTGCATATTGTTAACTTCCAAGTAGTTGTTCAGATGACC